CCCCCAGAGCCTTCTCTTCTCCAGGCTGAACAGCCCCAACTCTCTCAGCCTGTCTCCATAGCAGAGGTGCTCCAGTCCTCGGATCATTTTTGTGGCCCTTCTCTGGACCCACTCTAGCAGCTCCATGCCCTTCTGATGTTGGGGACCCCAGAGCTGAATGCAACACTGCAGGGGGAGTCTCAGGAGAGCAGAGCAGAGGGGCAGAATCCCCTCCCTCGCCCTGCTGCCCACGCTGCTTTGGATGCAGCCCAGGACACAGCTGGCTTTCTGGGCTGCCAGCGCACGGTGCCGGCTCATGTTGAGCTTCTCATCCACCAGAACCCCCAAGTCCTCTTCCTCAGGGCTGCTCTCAATCCATTCTCCGCCCAGCCTGTACTTGGGCTTGGGCTTGACTTTGCACTTGGCCTTGTTGAACTTCATGAGGTTCTCACAGGCCCACCTCTCCAGCCTGTCAAGGTCCCTCTGGATGCCATCCCTTCCCTCCAGCATGTCAACCACACCACACAGCTTGGTGTCATCAGCAAACCTGTTGAGGGTGCACTCGATCCCACTGTCCATGTCACCAACAGAGATGCTAAACAACATCAGCCCCAATACCAACCCCCAAGGAACACCACTCTTCACTGGTCTCCGTTGGACATTGAGCTGTTGACTGCAGCTCTTGGAGCGTGACCATCCAGCCAATTCCTTATCCACTGAGTGGTCCATCCATCAAATCCATGTCTCTCCAGTTTAGAGACAAGGATGTAGTATGTCTCTGTCAAATTACTGCATGTTGTGTTTGACAGAATTAGCCTGCTGAATAATCTGCTCTGTTTCAGTCAGAACAAACATAAAGCAGAACAAAGCAGCTGAAAATAACATTCATAGGCTGATGCAGAAGTGGCTTGATATTTGTCTGAAAAAGACATCATTTGGCTCTGTGAAGTTGAGGACTGTTTTATTTTCCAGTGGGCCAGAAGTGCTTTTCTGAGTTTTGACACTTTGCTAGAGCAAGTGGGATGACAGTCCTCACAGTGAGAGACAGCACCACCACTAATCCCAATAGCAAACCAGCCCACACATATGAGGACTATAGAGGATTATAGAATGTAGCACCACCCCAGTTTTCAGATACTTTTCCCATCTTCAGTGAGACTAGCCAAGAGTCTAGATCGGCTGTTGGTGTATTTTAAAGGCCTGTCACACCTCTCATCCTGGAACAGGATTTCTCTGGGTAGTGGTGCTGATAGGATCTTACCTGAACATAAGGCAGGGAGTCTTGAGTCTCAAATCACTCTCTATTTACTCTCAGCCACTCCCTGGATACCCTTCCTCCATGCCCTGCTGGACTTCCAATTCCTGCCTCACTAGTGGCAGTTTTCTGATCAACCATCACGAAGTCTGTCTTGTCCCCTGGAATGGAAGGTGAGGAGGAGTAGTGTTGCCGAGGAGTACCTCTTTCAATAAAGGGCTCAAGTAGCAACGACACTGGCACAGTTAGAGATATGGGGAAGGCAGCACTAATTTAGACAGAGGTTTGGGATAGAAGGTCCTCCATGGTACCAACCGGCCACTTCAAATGGGATTAGTCCTTGACACGTCCAGTCTGTGCCTCCTCACAGACTACTGCCCCTGCCACATCAGAGTCCTCCCCTTCGTCACAGCTTGTCAGAAGGACTGCCTATGGATGGCACCTCACAGACTTCAACATCTAATGAAAGAGCAACCAGAAGATAATAGACGTAGGAGGAAGCATGACTTCCAGCTACTAAGGAGACACAGAAAACAGTAGATGCAACGATGCCAGAAGATGGAGAGTCGGTGGCCAAAGACAATATAAGCTATAAGCAAGTGTGGGCTGTAGTCGTGTTTGTGTCTGTATTTTCTTCAGCAATAAGAATGGGCAATGTAATCAGAGAGGGATGAGCATGGAAGAGGAGGAGGGACTGGTTCTCTAGCAGAACAGAAGGTGCAAGGATAGAAGGAAGTTGGGCCAGACTGCACACGTACAGACGTGGGGTCAGACAGAATGAGAACAGAAAAAATGACAAGTAGAAAAAAGTGTGAACAAAGACCATGGTTAGATGAGATAGAAATAAACTGGAGAAAGAGGAGGATGAGAAAAGTTGGAAGAATTACTTGTCCTGTGACGAGCAGCTGAGGGAGCTGGGACTGGTCAGTCTGGAGAAGAGGAGGCTCAGGGGGGACCTTCTCGCTCTCTACAATTACATGAAAGGAAGCTGTAGGGAGATGGCGGTCAGTCTCTTCTCCCACGTTATGAGTGACAGGATGAGAGGGAATGGCCTCAAGTTACGCCAGGGGAAATTTAGGTCAGATATCAGGAAAAATTTCTTTCCAGAGAGGGTTGTGAAGTATTGGAACAGGCTGCCCAGAGAGGTGGTGGAGTCCCCATCCCTGGAGGTGTTTAAAAACCGTGTGGATTTGGTGTTGAGCAACATGGTTTAGGGACCCTGACAGTGCAGGGTGAATGGTTGGACTCGATGATCTTGAAGGTCTCTTCCAGCCAGATGATTCTATGAAATAAGAAAAGTCTAATGCTGAATGGGGAAAGGAGGAGAGGGAAACAAGACCTAAATTTTTAAATAAGACCGCTCTGCGCAATGAAAGGAAGGTTCTATGTGCTAAATTAGTAAGAAGGAAAATATTTGGAAAAGGAGACAAACCAAAGTGATTTTCAAAAGCATAACAATGGCAGCTGCAACATCATCTCATCCACCTAGTGGAAACGAAATCACCAGGTCCACAGAGTGCCTCCTGCAGCGTGCGCAAGGGAAGAGATGACGCCCTTCAGCCAACTTACTCTCTAGAGAACCCTGTTCCTATATGAACAAAGATGAATAATTTTTCTAGTTTTAACTTACAAATATCCAGTTTTGATGTTTGTGATGGGTTGGTGTGAAGGGGTTCTGGTGGCAGGAGAGGGGCTTTGCTCCCTGGGACTTCCCCAGTTTTGGAACCAGGTCAGACCCAGTTCTGGCCACCAGATCAGACTCCCATCCCCCTCGGGGTTGAGCCAATCGGCGCCTCTGCGAATGGCCCTATTTAAGCTGGGACAAAGGAACCGGAAAAGGTGCTTTGCCCAGGAGCGAGGAGAAGGGAGGAGGGCACTGCCCCCGCTCCCTGGCCCTCCGGCTGGGCGGCTGCCTGCAATGAGCCAGTGCCACCCACGGAGCAGGGCGGGGGTGGAGCCGCTTGGGGAACTCGGGGAGCGCCCCGCTGCCGGGGTGCCCACCGGGCCGAGTTCACCCAGAGAGCACTGAGATCTGAGAGAAACGGCCGCACAGACACCAGGTCAGTGAGGATGGAGCGGGAGGAGGTGCCGGAGCCCAGTTTCCCCTGCAACTGGTGGCGAGACGGCAGGCGGCCCCCTGCAGCCAGGGATGGACTCGGTGGGGCAGAGACCCACTGCAGCCCGGGGAGAAGGCACGTTGGAGAAGAGACGCTGAGCCTGAGGACAGTCGTGGAGCATGGGACGCACGACAAGGCAGAGAGGCATCTAGAGTCCGTGGGACAACCCATGCCAGAGCAAGTGGCAACAGCTCCCTAAGAATCTGAGACTGTGGTAAAGCCCACACTGGAGCAATCCCATGGGGAAGGATTGCGTCCCGCGGGTAGGACTCATGCTGGAGAAGTTTGTGGATTTTCCTCGTGAGTAGGGGATCCACTGGAGCAAGGGAGAAGGGTGTAAGGACTCCTCCTCCTTTAAGAAAGGAGTGGCAGGAACAACATGGGATGAACTGACCTGCACCCCCCATTCCCTGTCCCCCTGTGCTGCTGGGGGGGAGGTAGAGCCAGGAAGAAAAGGAAAGGGGGAGGGTGTTGTTTTTAAGATCTGGCTTTGTTTCTTTTTATCCTCTCAAGTAACTGGTTTTGCTTCTCTTTATCCTCTCAAGTAACTGCTAATAAATTGTTTTGCTTTGTTCCCAAGCCGAGTCTGTTTTGCCCGGGACCACGGTCGGTGGGAGACCACGGTCGGTGGGAGCTCCTTCTCTCTTCTTGTCTCCACCCTCAGCCCTTCTATTATATTTTTCTCCTCTCCACTTCACTGGAGAAGGAGTGAGAGCGCAGCTGTGTGGAGTTTAGTTGCCGGATCGGCCTAAGCCACGACAATGTTTTCTTTTGTTGAAAGGATTTAATAAAACAGTATGCTGAGCACACTTTTAGTAATACCAGCTTTCTTTTTAAAAGAGGATGCATACGGTGTAGCAGCCAATGGACCATTTTGGAGAGACGCAATTTGCTACTACTTGTAGGGCAACAGTTGCACCAAATTCTCAAATGTCAGGTAAGAATAGAATTTGTCAAAAAACATTACTCTTCAAAACAAAACAATTAAAAAAAAATCAACAAAAAAGTTTACATAAATTCTACACTATGCTCCTATTCATAGCAACCAGCTTCTAGAGGGCCTTGTGCAAGTACCAAATTGTATAAGCTTGACTTTCCAAAAGTATCTGTAGAGTCAAAAAAAGTCCCTGACCAGTTTTGTGGTAAAGGATTCTGTGCACATGGACACTTCAAATAGCTGTAAGAGGTGTTGTAAAAGAATGTCAAGCCAGAGGTTGGGAAGTGTTTGTAAAGCCATTTCAATGGAAGTACCATACAGTAACTTCTGGCCGAGTCCCTTCAGCAGATGCTGTTACAGACCACGTGAGTATCTTCATCCCAGAAAGCCCACAACAGCAGCTCTATGGTCTTGTCACTCCTCTTCTGACACCTTCTGTTTTCTCACATGCTGGCAGCTTGTTGTGGGGGCACCCCAGGCGCAGGCTGGCGAGGCAGAGTGTACATGGCCCCCAGAAACTGGTCCGCAATGCGACCCGCTTCCCTCAGCCCGCTCAGCAACGCGCCGTGAACCGTTGCAGGATAGTTGCGGATTGTGTGTTCTCCCGCAAAGAACAGGCGAGGAATGGGCTGGGGGAACAGAGAACACTGTTAAGGCTGGTTTGTGTTCCTGCGGATCCTGCAGCAAACAGACACTTTAAGAAGAACGTTAAAAGTCCGCTAATCGCACCACGGCCTCCCTTAACACGATACATATAAAATAGTCTATATTAAAAATATTTTTCACCTGTCCTACAAATTACCAAGAAAATCTTTATATACCCCTTTCATTTCACAGGAGGGTTTCATGTTTGTAATGACTGTAACAAGAGGAAATATTTTCCAATTATTTGCCACCATCTTTGCTTTGACACTTTCAGAACCAGATAAACAGGGGAGATTAACGTCCCCAGCTCTATACTGAAAACGTATTTGGATGTTGTATCTACAACTCTAGAGCCAAACTGTTAAACGTGTTTAAGAAGAATGATGGTTTCTGCTCCTGGGACACGAACTTTAGCGTAGTAGGGCAAGAAAAATTTCAGCAATTCACTTAAACTAGAAGTTTCTCTTTAAACTGAGACCTAAACCAACTATTGACTGTATCATAAAAAGCAGGAGAGAAACAGACTTTCGTACATGATCCTCTGCAGAGAACCATTTTATCCACAGCCATGTTTATTAGTGACTTGTACCACTAGGATAAAGAGCCAAAACAAAGACAAAGCCACACATCCTTCTCTGCTAGTGCCTTCAGAATGGCTCTTGCTTTCAAAACTTCATCTTCTCAAAGTGAACTGGAGATGACTTATGCCTTCATTGTGTTCGCTCCCAATTTGGGAGAGACCTTTTGATTCCTGGTTCCTCTCACTCTGGCCTTCACCCTCTTTCAGATCACTACAACTCACTCAAATACAGTGACGGACAATATAAACACAGAGTATGAAACACAATAAATGTATAATATTGTAATACTCTGTACAGACATTACCAAATTGACTTTCTGAACAAAAATGCTTTTTCTAGTAAATAAATGACACCAAACCTGGGAAGGCAGAATTCATGGACAGAAAAAATATACTTTACAAGTTCTAATCTTCATCAGAAGATGCAAGTTATCTAAGTTGTGTTTAAGTATGTATGCAAATTGCCTAGAAAAATCATCCTCTTTTGAGCTTTTTCTAAAAAGAATTGAGACATCTCTCACCTGAGGAGCACCTGGAATCGCTGGTCCTGGAGTAATTGGCTGAGCCATCAAATCATAGTCATTTCCAGAAGATCCAGCTGCTACGTAGGAGTACGATCCCCGGGCCCAGGGGTCAGCACGCCAGCGGGACACCACGGTCTCTTTAGGCTAAGACAGAAACTTCATTTGTTGACACAGTGCAAGTTCTACAGTTAGTGCAAAATACGAAATACGCAAATTGCAAGAACAAAAGGCACCACGTCCTTAGGCTAATGTTAATGGTGGAACTCCAAGTTTATATTCCATGATAGCACGTAATAAGGTAAATAACTTGTCTTTGGTGGCAATACCTTAATTCTTTCCAATACATTATCAGAACCTACTGCACATATCTTCTGCACTGGAACTCAGACTTTGTAGTAAGCTATATAGACACACTGTGTACTGTCTGCTCTATTTCTTCTCCTATAATCAACACAATGACAACACGTACTTCCTCTTTTCCTGTCTTTCAACCACAGCTCATCTGAACATCTCTTCTGATTTGACTATGATATAGGCCTATATACGGCCTTGTAACTCATCTGGGAAAACAACAGCATGAAGGGCACCTGAACGAACACCTGCACTTCTCCAATCTGTCTGGTTTGCCAAGGTAATGGTCACGATGAAGGATATTTCACTGAAAGAGGCAACACTGAGAGCATCACCAGGGCTGAAACCAGTATTGCTGTAAGGCATAACAGCAGTCAAGAGAAAACAAGACATCTTCATAACCTTGCACTGAGAAGTGATAGGTGTGAATCCTATCCCAGATCCTGTTCAAATGTGTAACTGAGTTTTAACAGGAATCATGCTCTCTAAAAATGCAAAGATAAAGACAGAAACTTCATCTCCTCCTCTTGGGCCTAAAGATATTTCACGGAATTGTTTCTACTTGAACAGACCTTCCCACAAAGGAAGAGAAAGCAGCTATATCTCGTGAAGGCATTATCCAGAAACCAGTCCAGCAGGCACCATACCACATCATGACAAGGGAAGTTTCCTGGATGCCAACACCAACAGATCTGAGATCATCTCTCTGAGGCTGGCCTCAGCTGGACTATATTTGGTGCCTTTTGCTGAGTTTGTGGCAAGGCCACACAGGACTGGGGCCATGTTCCAAGGTTTAAGACATCACTGGGTGTTGGAGACCACACTTCCCAATATGGTCTGATGACTTAATTGAGAAAATTGCTCACTACAATTTTCAGCACTCTTCTATCCAAAAGGTAAGAAGCTGAGTGATGAGCCAGCCCTCATACACTGATTGCTGCTTGAGAAAAAAAGTAACCTCATCTCTCTCCTTTTTGGATGGAGACCACTGTGATGGCACCGCATGTTAACACACGTATGTCTGACAAAGAAAACTTTGAGGCATTTCATAAATTTCTTAATTCTCTCTAGTAATCACATGAAGCATTGCAGTCTAACAGGGAATAAAGCCAGAGAGAATTTTACTTCATGGACGTCGTTTTGAAGGTATGGCTAATCCAGACACAACTGTAGAGCAGAATACATGATTTATACAGAAGAGTCTCAAAGCTCCTCTGAGAGAGATCTCCTTAGGAAGTGAAATTGCCCTCCAAGAGTTCAGAGAAGGAGCAGAAAGGTAACTCTGGGGTTTCCTTCTCTTGTGTTCTCCAGTCAGAGATGTGTAATTCAACTGGTTAAGCAGGAATTGTTAGCCCATGAGTGGATCTCGTATTTTGGAAATGCTCAGTCAGCTGTGAGGATTCCTCCATCATATAGAAAGCAGTGAAGTGCTGGGGACGACAAAGCCGTGTTCAAAAAGAGCTCTACAACTGTTCTACAATAAAGACAATGCAGTGAATCTATTCCTCACACGAAACACCAAGCAAGTAAACAGTCCCATTTATGCCTGGTCAAATACTCAAAAGACTGGTATATTAAAGTTACCATGTATTTTTTTCTATTACTTTACTATATAGAACTCCTAGTGGAAGAGAGCTGTTTATTTACAACCACTGTCACTTGTAAGAACTGCTTCCACAGTGCCTGTTAGGAGAACAGACCAAGTATTCAACTAAGTCACACAGACTGTAGGTTGAACAGCTGTAAGACTTTTCAAATCAATGTCCTAAGTAGACGAGCTTCTTATTTTTTGAGTAATATTTCAGTATTTTCTAAACTCCCCCTTCACTAACCATTCCTTTTATACTTACTGTGCCTAAATAACCGTTGGCTAGCTGCACAGGGAACTGATCCAGGTGAAAGACTGCCTTTACTCCCTTCCTCCCTCTTCAGTTATTTTCTAGCCAACCAGTTTCTTTGTGGAGTTCACTGGTCAAAAGTTTTACTATACTTTAGAGAAGGTGCGGAACATGGCAGAGTGTCTTAAGCAGTGCTGTCACTAGCTGTGAACAGCTCTGCTGTAACCCCAGAAATGTAAAAGGTAGAAAATTAACTGAACTATTTTACACTCTGGAAAAACTAGAGTCTTACTTGGTGTGAAACAGCCTTCTCAAAAAAAAAAAAAAAATCCACCAAACAAAAGCCAAAACAAATAAAAAACCTAAAACCACAAACCCATAAACAAACCCTGTTCCCAAAAAACTCTAGACAAACAAGAGGTGGTCCATCTACCAACCAGGTCAGCACTGAGAACTGTCGTACTCTCCGAGGTGCAGAGAAGTGACCCAAGGATGGTGTCTGCACTAACCTGCGGCACAGCGCTGCTGCCAAATATGCCTTTGAGGATAGCAAGGCATCGCCCAACAATGACGTCATCGCTGATATTCTCCATGATCCCTGCTGCTTCTCCTGCTACCAAGGCCAACAAAATTGGTGCTGGGGGGGTGGGGAAGGAGAGAGTAAAAACAATTGGATTATTGAAATCTAACATTTAATCAGACAAGTTGGACTTGAATAGGCATGGATCTGCAGCTAAGTCATGAGGTTGAAAACTAAATAAATCCAACAAAAGTAGACCTAAATCTTCCACCATCATATTGAATCACCAAAAGGAAAATGAATTAATATATGCAATGATACTATTGGAATTATCAAGAGAACTGATGTATTAAAAAGTAAATACACACATAAGGAAGTACAGCATGTAGAAGAAAGGAAAGGTTTTCTTTAGTGAAGACATCACTTGTTTGACATAGCAGTGTCCACTGAGGGACACTCAGGGATGTATGAGTCATCTGTGCTACATTTAAGGGAACTCAGATACCTTCCAAACAATTTAATTTTGGTACAACTAACATCAGCATAGCAGTTAAGTTACCTGCATAAGTATTTCACTCATACAAAGCATCTAGGTTTCTTCACTACCAATGCACATTCACATTACGTAATCTCAACGGAGTGGAAACTATGAACAGGAGAACAACATCCAGAAAAGCAGCAATTCTGAGGTACCAAATAACTCAGCTGCCCATGTGGTGCTATGGTGAAGAGTGTTAATGTGAATATGGAACATACAAACAAATAGATGAGGTCATTTGACTTCTGACCAGCTATGGTAAGACTAAGCATACATTTTCGGTAGTCACAAATCCAAGGAAAATCTTAGGTAAGTATTTAAGAGCTACCAAAATAACCCGCTGGCAAGAAACATGCATTGACAAGAAGTGACTCAGAGCTGAGCATGGTTACTTAATGAAAACTCTCTCAGATGATCTTTCTCCTCCTGAAGATATTTATGAACTCGTAAATTTAGCAAAGGAAATGCTCCAGCTAGAAACAGATGTCAAGCATACTGAAATGGGAAATGAAGTCCTTGTTAAAAATTTGGCTTTAACTTTTGCACGTTTCCAAAATGATTAGTGAATTCCTTATATCCTGGTATACACAGAGATCTCCTGGTATACATTCCCATCAAGTTACTGCTCTTTCAAGAAAACTGCCTGAAGTTCAGTTGCGATATACAGGCTGGAAGATCCAATAACACATTCTGGTTAAAATCAAAGTCTTTGAAATTCTGAAGAAGTTTAGAAGACTAGTAAGGCTGTTATTACTACAAAGATAATTACCCTACTCGAGATACAATTAAGAGACTTCAATATGCAGGACCTCTGAGACTAGAAGCAGCTTATTAGAGAAAAAAGATACAGGATTGCTCCTCTAGTTAAACTCCATTTTCTGAAAGGTTAAGCCTAGTCTTTCAAACGATTGAAGGAAAGAACAAAAAACTGATTTCCTCATCCATAGGCATTATTTTTTTTTTGTCATTTCAGCAGCAAAGTTTTTCCTAGTTTGTCATCCTTGACACAATGAGATCTCTGAACTTTTTGGCAATTATTCAGTCAACATATTTTTTTTTTCCTTGATGGAACAAATACATATTCGAAATGCAGTTTCCAGTGAATTTGTTCATGAAAACTGTAGTCAGCCAACTCCCAAGATAATTTTTATGAAAATCTTGCCTTTCCAGGCACAAGACCCTGTTTTGTAAGCATTTATCCAGACCTGAAAACGTTGCTATCCAGTCACCTGCATTAATTCAATGCCGTGAATTACTGAGAGCCATCAGGCTGTAGCAGAACAGTGGCTATGCAAATACCAATGTGCCACTCAGAAAAGTTTCTTGCATGATGAGCATGTGTCACAGCTCCCCAAAACATTGTCTCCTTGAGGCAGTGATATTTACTGAGCCCTGATACCAGCAGCAAGCAGAGAACGTGGTTTAACCAGAGATCTGTGAGTAACCACAAAACTCTGACAGAGAAAGGGCCTCGTCTTTTTCATCACGTCTCTAGGAAAAACAGAAGAGCCAGGCAAGAAAACAGAGACTGAAATGTCACTGGACTTCCAGCAAACACTGAGCGTTTCTGCCAGAGGTTCCTCTGCCCTGTGCTGATGCAGTCTCTCCATAGTAAAGTCTGTCTACATGGCTACGACAATAATCCAGCCACGTGGCAGGGCAAGAGGCACCAGCAGCCGCACGAACAGCTGCTCCAGGAGACGCGCAGCATTCCTGATGCTCTGGGTTTTCTCAGCAGTCATTACCTGGACTGGACTTTAACCACAGCACATCACCCAACAGCAGCACAACAACGTGCAGTCTGTTCGCCCGAGTTGTGCTGCATTCACCCACCCTTTGAACACTTCCCAGAGACCGGCTGGTGTCTGCCAACAGAAGACCTTGCGCTAATACAGCACATGCTGCGATATTTCCAGGTTTTTTTGTTTCTGGATTAATAATTGTTCTCCAATCTCTTCAGTTTAAATCATCTCCGCCCAAAATGCTACAGCTACAGAAATGCAGAATATGGCAGAAATAAATAACAGCTTCACAAGTTCAGTCAGGCCTACGTGAGTATTTCACAGTGTGAGCACGTTAACTGCCACCTAACTCAATAACCATGAAAACTGGGAATTGATTCAGCCATCTGACTTGTGCTTTAGCATAGGATTTTATTGCTTTTTTTTTTTGCTTCTAGGTGCTCTGCCTATTTTCCTGAGAAGGAAAGTTTTGCATCTAGCAGCAGAACTTTTGTATGTGAGACAGCCAACGTAAACCAGAACCCCCAACACTAGGTAAGTCTGTAATGGAGCATCTTAAAGCCACAACAGCAGATAGTCAAACAGCCTTGCTGTCCAATACCCATAACTTGTATTTCTCCAGTCAAGTCTAATCAAACATTTTAACAATTAAGAAGGCACATTCTTTCGGCAGCAATTTTCTCCAGTTAAAAGGAAAATTCCGACTGGAGTGCTGGAACAGAATGATACAGGCTCTTTGGGAAGGACAGGCAGGGGAAAGGAGGAGGAGGTGTCAGCCTCTATGACAATGACCAGCATGAAGCTGCACCTGGGGATGGATGAGGAGCTGTCTGAGAGCTGATGGGTCAGGATTAAAGGGAGGGCAGGGACAGGCGACATTACAGAGGGGAGAGCAGGGGCAGGTGAGGTTACAGTGTGGGTCGGCTACAGGCCACCCGACCAGCAAGACTGAGCAGGTGAGGCCCTCTATGAAAAACACAGGAGCAGCCTCACCTTCACGAGCCTCGGTCCTCATAGGGGGCTTCAGCCACCCCAGTATCTGTTGGAGAGACAACACAGCAGCACATAAGCAATCCTGGAGGTTCCTGGAATGCATGGATAGTAACTTCCTTCAAGTGATAGAGGAACCAACGGGAGAGGTGCCATGCTGGACCTTGTTCTCACCAACAAGGAGAGGCTGGAGGAGAATGTGATGCTCAAGGACACCCTTGGCTGCAGTGACCATGAAATGGTGGAGTTCAAGATCCTTAGGGTGGCGAGGAGGGCGCTCAGCAAGCTCACTGCCTTG